GCTTGCAGCCTTTTGTGTGTTTACTCTTACCTGCATGCTGCTCTTGATTCCTTCACATGTGTGTTGTTCTGTGCTCACCTATGGGCGTCGTCTGCTATTCCCTGGGTTTTATGTCCTTCCCTTCCATCACTTCCTGTCCCACCTCCTTGTCTGCCTGTCTGTTTAAGATGTGCTCAGACTGGGCCACATTGCCTGAGCAACATTTGTTGTTGGAGCTCCCCAGTGTTCTCCTGAATCTGTTTAGTATATCTGTGTACCGACCCCGGCTTTGTCCCTGACATTCCTCCTGTATCGTCAATCCGTGCACTGACCCCGGCTTGTTCCTGACATCGCTAGTGTTCCGCCTGTCCTGACCTCGGCTTGCCTACTGTCTCTACTCCCATAGCACACTGCTCCTGCTAGTGTGGTCACTTCTACCTCAGCTGGGTGTACCTGGGTGCCGCGACCTGGTTCCAGCCTGATCCAAGTCCATCCCCACCATCATAGGCCCTGGTGAACAAGCAGGCTGGGGCTTAGACTCCGCGCCCGGGGGAACCCCAAGCTGTGGTTTTATAGAGCTCACTACCATAGACATGACAAGTTTTGCACAGAGCAGTCCGATCCTCCTCCTCCTGGGTTCCGCACCAACGCTCCAGGCCCCTCCTCCCTGCTAAGTGCCACCAGAGCAAGCTGCTGGTCTGGGGGCACTCATATATCCTCACTGGCTTGATGACAGCAGCAGGAGCCATTGGCTGAATAGGAACCCAGGAGAGCTCATTCTCGTGCACATCGCATTGTAATTGGCTCAGAAGTCAGGGCCGCGGCACAGAGCTCTAAGAACAGCATGAGTATGCCAGGTCTTTATAGCGCAGGCGTTGGTGACATCACTGGATGCAGAAAATTATTATAAGCTTACTGTGTACTACCAAGCGATTTCAACTAATGGTGAGACAGCTGTATGTTAGTGTACAGATTGCTCAATTTGTCTTGCATACCGTTCAGCTTAGAACTGCTTAACGCCACAAAAAAAGCAATTGAAGTTAACCTGCATGGTAAAGTGGTGGACCTACTGTATTCTCTGGAAAAATTTATCAAATTTTTGGTATAAGTATGAAGAACTGGAAATTTCAATGGTGGAGTTTTTAGATCAGCTTTATGTTGCCTTATAAGTACACAAGCAAAAGTACCAATCAGTGTGTGACAGGTTTGATGCTGTATTTACCTTGCAGAGATACGAAATGTGAGAAACTTATCACATCTTGCCCCTGAGAACTTATCACTTCTATTGTTCATTGACAAAATTGCCCAGGTTGTTTGCCAAGCTTAGTATGTAGTCCACTCATCAGTAGTTTCCCAAGTATTACAGGTTTTAAAATAAGAATGTCCACCAATGGCTCATGAAATTTGGCAGATTTGGCACTGACAGCGTTTTAAGAATCCCACCTAATGAAAGAAAAAAGATCATTTGTGTCTACAGGATATAGACAGCTGTATGTTAGTAATTAAATTTACCGTACTTAGCTTATTAATGTTTGCCCAGTTCAGTTTTCATTTTGTTGTGTTAGTGGAGTTAGCCATCTATGGAAACTAAAAAAGTACCGCTTTGCTGGCAAGTATTTACTTGCATGGTATTCATAGGTACTTAACTCATTGTTTCTATGTATTTTTAGTTTCCAATGAAAAAAATAAATGGAATGGGGACAGATTTGCCCTGCGTTTTATGATTCCCACCGACATGAGGTGACCCACCCCCTAGGTCTAAATCCCGCCCTTGCTAGACTGGCTTCTAGGTTTTAGAACCAAAGAAATAAAAGTACAAGGAGAAGCATCATGATACATTAAAAACACAAGAGGGAAGAGTATAAAGAAGAGGGGCAGGTATAAATCACCCCAAAATGCATTCAATGGTCCAACAGTAAAAAATATTCAAGTAAGATTTTTAAAAATAACAATGTTACCATTGGTTTTGCACACAGCAGCCCCAATCCTTCTATTCTGGGGTCCCCCTCTGGAGATCCTGGCTCCTCCCCCCTGCCAAATGCCCCCAAATCAAGCTACTTGCTCTGGGGGCATTTGTGTATGCTTGCTCCTGAGCTGGTGCTTGTCCTGCCCTCTGCTCTCTCTGCGATTGACAGCAGCAAGAGCCAATGACTCCCGCTGTTGCCACTCTGTCAAATGAGGAGAGAGTGAGTCGAGAGAGCCGATGCTCTCATGCACATCGCTGGATCGAGCTCGATCTCAGGTAAGTATCTGAAGGTGTGTGGGGAGGGGGGGGGGGGGGTAAAAGGTAAAAAAAAAAACCCATGCAGCTGTAGAACCACTTCAATTCCTTTGTGATTATTGTTAAATATATTTGGATGAAATATTTTGTGCATTAACGTTAGGGTTGTGAAATATACATAATGCACTTTTGTTTTTCTGCAGTCCTAGCGGTGTTCTGGTAATATGAACATACTGACAAGAGAATGTATAGTATAGGTTCATGTAACTGGAGGTTGCCATAACGGCTAGAGGTCTACAGAAATTCTTTGCAAAACTTGGATGTAATAAATATAAAACTCATATGTCAACAACCTAAATTCAGCCTTTTCAGTGTCTTTTAGAATGGAAGTAGCAATTTGCTGCATTTAATTTGAAATATAGCTTTGAATGATGATAAAATTATACTTTATGTTTTGTGTAGAAGTAAACATTGTTTAGTGGAGTTCTTTTCTAAAGTTTATATGTTGCCAGCAATGGTGTCGCAGATGTATATTAATTTAATTAGGTATTTGTACAACAGTATATTTAGAAGTGAGTTGAACGGAATTGTATCTGACAACAGAGGGAAGTAGCGCTGTAATCTAATAAAACTACAGCATATTTATTTATACACACACACAGTGCTCAGCATAAATGAGTACACCCCTTTTGAAAAGTACATTTTTAATCAATATCTCAATAAACACAAGAAAAATTTTAAAAATTGTGACAAAACTGATTTTTCTAGAACATTTGTTTAGCTCATTACATGAAAGTAAGGTTAATAATATAACTTAGATTACAAAATCTTCAGTTTTACTCAGATTAGTTGATGAAAAAATGAATATACCCCACAACAAAAACTACTACATATAGTATTTTGTATGACCTCCATAATTTGTAGCACCAAGTCTGTCCTTACAAATAATGGAGGTCATACAAAATACAAGTTGGCGACATATTGCAACATCAATCTTTTTCCACTCTTCAAGAACAACCTTTTAGAGCCTGGATGCTGGATGGAGAGTGATGTTCAACTTGCCTCTTCAGAATTCCCCATTGGTGTTCGATTGGGTTCAGATCATGAGACATACTTTACCACTTTCACCCTGTTCATCTTCAGAAATGCAACAGTGGCCTTAGATGTGTGTTTTGGATCATTGTCATGTTGGAAAAGTGCACGACGACCAAGGGCACGGAGGGATGGTAGCATCTTCTCTTTCCATATAGACCAGTACATCTGTGAATTCATGATACTATCAATGAAATGCAGCTTCCCCACACCAGCAGCACTCATGCAGCCCCACAGAAGGACACTGCCACCACCATGTTTCACTGCAGGCACCATGCACTTTCCTTTGTATTCCTCACCTTTGCAACGCCATACAGTTTTGAAGCCATCAGCTCCAAAATATTTATCTTGGTCTCATCACTCCAGAGTCCCAGTAGTCGTCCTCTTTTTCAGCATGGGCCCTGGCAAATTCTAGGTAGACTTTTTTGTTCATGGGCATTGAGAGAGGCTTCCTTCGTGGATGACACCCATGCATGCCATTCCTCTGCTGTGTACGCCGTATTGTGTCATGGGAAACAATCACCCTAGTTTGGCTTTCTACTTCTCTAGCTAACTGCAGTGAGCTTGCATAGTGATTTTCTTCACCCCTTCTCATCAGATGATGTTCCTGCGAGGTGTTAACTTGCGTGGATGGCCTGGACGTCTCTGTGAGATGGTTATAGTTCCATCTTTGTTAAATATTTGTAACACTTTTGCTACAGTATTCCGAATGATAAGTAACATTTTGCTGATTTTCTTGTAGCCTTCACCTCTCTTGTGTAAAGAGATTACTTTCTTTCTCAGACCTTGTGACACTTCTCTTTCATGTGGTGCCATTGCAGACTGCATGAAATGGGAAGGGGTTTTCTTTGTTAAGTAATGCCCTTTTATAATCAACTGTCTGCTGGACACCTGTTTAATGAGTACTAAAGGGAAACTCATACAAAATGAGCGCAGAGGGGCCACTCCAGGTGGAAACATGTGAACAGTTAATCATGAGCTCACCACTGCTGTCTTGTTAATCATTTGCATGATGAAGAAAACTGAAAAGAATAGGCGTTGTGTAAAATGCTCTTTGTCAAGCACCTTAATGAAGGTGCATCTTTATTAAGTGAGACAAAGTAACAAATATAATAAAATTTGACCAGCCTGAAGTGAACAGTGTGACTCCAACGGACGGCCCGTCTGCTCTGAACGGAGATGAGATTGGAGAATGCTCCTGTCGGCTTCGAATCACGTGGTGTCAGCGTCCCGGCGTCCCGGGTGGCATCGTCACAGCAAGCGAAGGGCAGAAGGCAGTGTCCGGCTTCAGCTGGGAGCATACGCAAGGTTAATAAGATGACTTGTTTCACGCAGTTGCGCTTTGTCAAGCCTAATGAGTTATTAGACTCACCTGTAGTTAAATTCTTCTTAATTAGGATTTTGTTGTCTAAAATTTAGCTTCGTTCTTAAGACTTTCACTCTTCGGGGTGTATTCATTTTTGCAACATGATCTTAAATTAATTTGTTAGGAAAAATACTTTTTTGTGTGTGCAATTTAACAATTAATCTTGTTTGCAATCAATGGCCTGCATTTGTGGGAGTATTTTGTAATATAGTATCCCATAGAAAATGTTGATTCTGAAAGGAAAGTAAAGGTTTTTGTGGCAAAATCTGTTAGGGTGTACGCATTAATGCGGAGCACTGTGTGTTTGCCAAACACACACTATATTGCCAAAAGTATTGGGACATGCAGGCTGCTTCTACAAACATTTGTGAAAGAATGGGTCACTCTCAGGAGCTCAATGAATTCAAGAGCGATACCGTGAAAGGTTGCCACCTGTGCAATAAGTCATCCGTGAAATTTCCTTGCTACTAAATATTCCACGGTCAACTGTTAGTGGTATTATAACAAAGTGGAAGCAACTGGGAACAACAGCCACGTGGTAAGCCACATAAAATGACAGCGGGGTCAGCGCATGCTGAAGCGCACAGAAGTTGCCAACTGTCTGAAGAGTCAATAGCTAAAGACCTCCAAACTTCATGTGGCCTTCAGATAAGCACAACACCAGTGCGTAGAGAACTTCATGGCATGGGTTTCCATCCCCAAGTGCAATGCAAAGCGTCGGATGTAGTGGTGTAAAGCATGCCACCACTGGACTCTACAGCAGTGGAGACGTGTTCTCTGGAGTGACAAATCAAGCTTCTCTGTCTGGCAATCCAATAAACGTTTGGGTTTGGTGGTTGCCAGGAGAACGGTACTTGCCTGACTACATTGTGCCAAGTGTAAAGTTTGGTGGAGGGGGGGGGGGGGGGGGGGGATTATGGTGTGGGGTTGTTTTTCAGGGGTTGGGCTTGGCCCCTTAGTTCTATTGACGGAAACTGTTTAAGCGTCAGCATACCAAGACATTTTGGACAATTTCATGCTCCCAACTTTCAGGGAACAGTTTGGGGATTTCTCCTTCCTTTTCCAACATGACTACGCACCGGTACGCAAAGCAAGGTCCATAAAGACATGGATGAGTGAGTATGGGGTGCAGGAACTTGACTGGCCTGCAGTCCTGACCTCAAGCCGATAAAACACCTGTGGGATGAATTAGAGCGGAGACTGCGAGTCAGGCCTTCTCGTCCGACATCAGTGCCTGACCTCACACAAACATTCCCATAGACACACTGCTAAACCTTAAGGACAGTCTTACCAGAAGAGTTGAAGCTGTTATAGCTGCAAAGGGTGGGCCAACTCAATATTGAACCCTATGGACTAAGTCCGGGATGCCATTAAAGTTCATGTGCGTGTAAAGGCAGGTGTTCCAATACTTTTGGCAATATAGTGTGTGCGTGTATATATATGCATATATACACATACATACATATAAACAACTCTATACAGTGAATGAAACACATCTGGAAGAGAAAGACAGCTTTCTGCGCCCTGCACACAGGGCTCCACTACACCCCAGCTTCAAAAAATCACTGTGCTCCTGGCTGAAAGTCCAATGCTGTGACAGAATATAGCAGAGACATTATTCTTCTCTACTGTGTAAGCACTAACTCCATCCATCAGAATAATTAGATCACCAGGTTTAGGCCTGTCAGTGTGATGATCCCTCACTGCAACCAATACAATTATCCCCTACACATCTGTCTGACTGTCTGCGTCGTCTCCTTAATGTGCACCCAGTCTTTATCCTGGACTAACACTGACACTACACTGAAAATGTCTTCTTTGTACTGCTCTGTAAGTAGATATAGTACTTGCTTCATCTCCAGCACCAGCATCAAGTAAGAGGGGTTTCTGCACCTTCAACTGGTTCACTGCCCCCCCCCCCCCCCGAGGTTTCAGATAAATTGCTATCCTTCTGGTAAACAACTAATCAAAACACTGCAGCAATGCTAGTCCTTTACCCTAATCTTAGATCTCTGTAATCCACTGCAGCAAAAATCCTCACAGGGTCACTGGGAGTGTACCTCCATTAGTGTGACATGTGGCTTTATTCTCACTTGCAGATGACATACTGTCCTCTGTGGCTATAATCTTACCTGAAGGTCACGCACGGTCCTCTATGGCTACGGTCTTATCTGCAGATGACACATGGTCCTCTGTGGCTACAGTCTTACCTGCAGGTAACATACAATCTTCAGTGGTTATAGTCACAACTGTAAACTGCACAAGGTCCTCTGCGGCTACAGTCTCACTTGTAGGTAGAGCATGATCCTCTGTGACTGCAGCCCAACCTTTCAGTTACACATGGTCCTCTGTGGCTACAGTCTAACCTGCTGGTTGACACATGGTCCTCTGTGGCTACAGTCTAACCTGCTGGTTGACACATGGTCCTCTGTGGCTACAGTCTAACCTGCTGGTTGACACATGGTCCTCTGTGGCTACAGTCTAACCTGCTGGTTGACACATGGTCCTCTGTGGCTACAGTCTAACCTGCTGGTTGACACACAGTCCTCTGTGGCTACAGTCTAACCTGCTGGTTTATACACGGTCCTCTGTGACTACAGTCTCACCTGCTGGTTAACACACGGTCCTCTGTGGCTACAGTCTAACCTGCTGGTTGACACACGGTCCTCTGTGGCTACAGTCTAACCTACTGGTTGACACACGGTCCTCTGTGGCTACAGTCTAACCTGCTGGTTAACACACGGTCCTCTGTGGCTACAGTCTAAACTGCTGGTTAACAAACGATCTTCTGTGGCTACAGTCCCACTTGCTAGTTAACACACGGTCCTCTGTGGCTACAGTCCCACTACAGTCTCTGTGGCTTACCTAAACTGCTGGTTAACACACGATCTTCTGTGGCTACAGTCCCACCACATGTGGGCTAACAACACATGATCTCTGTGGCTACAGTCCCACCTGCTGGTTAACACATGAACCTCTGTGGCTACAGTCCCACCTGCTGGTTAACACATGTCCTCTGTGGCTACAGTCCCACCTGCTAGTTAACACAGGCTTCTGTGGCTACAGTCCTGCTGGTTAACACATGGACCTCTGTGACTACAGTCCCCCCACCTGCTAGTTAACACACGATCTTCTGTGGCTACAGTCTAACCCGCTGGTTAACACACGGTCCTCTGTGGCTACAGTCTAACCTGCTGGTTAACACACGGTCCTCTGTGGCTACAGTCTTTGTGGCTATACTGGTTAACACCTGCTACAGTTAACACGGTCTTCTGTGGCTACAGTCTAGTCACTTGCTAGTGGAACACGGTCTCTTTGACTACAGTCCCCCACCTGCTAGTTAACACAACGGTCCTCTGTGGCTACAGTCTAACTGCTGGTTAACACACGGACCTCTGTGACTACAGTCTAACCTGCTGGTTACAACAGAAGATGTAATTGGCGCAAGAGAGGTGGGTGGTGGGTATGGAGTTCCCCCAGAAAGTCTTGCTACAAAGTTAAAAAAAAGGACGCAATACAGGTGAGTCCTGGTGTACAAAGTGGATTGCACAGCTGGTAGTAAGAGGGGGGGAGGGGGGAAGAGGACTTGTGGCAGACAGTACTGGGTTGGAGTAGATGGTATACACACAAAGCTGCTGTAGACTACGTCGTAGGCTTGCACGAGTCCGGACTCTGTGGAGGCTACAGTCGCCCAGAACTAAGTGCACCTGCTGGTTTAAAAAATCACAAGACGTGGGTCCTCTGTGGAGGACGTACAGTCCCACCGGCTGCTCTAGGTTAAAAACTGACAAAGGCTGGTTGCCTTTGAAATGCGTCACCGCCCTCTGTGGCTACAACGTCCCAGCTCGCGGCCATGGTTAAGCTGGTCCCATCACCCACCCAGCTGCGCCCAACGTGAGCACGGACAGTCCCACCTTGCTGGTTAACACATGATGGTCCTCTGTGGCTACAGTCTAACCTACTGGTTGTTACACAGTCTGTGGCTACAGTCACTGGTTAACACACGGTCCTCTGTGGCTACAGTTAACACACACCCTGGGCTTAAGTACCAAACTCCTTCTGTGGCTACAGTCCTAAACTGCTGGTTAACACACGGTCCTCTTCTGTGGCTACAGTCCCACCTGCTGTTAACACATGGTCCTCTGTGGCTACAGTCCCACCTGCTGGTTAACACATGATCCTCTGTGGCTACAGTCCCACCTGCTGGTTAACACATGATCCTCTGTGGCTACAGTCCCACCTGCTGGTTAACACATGATCCTCTGTGGCTACAGTCCCACCTGCTAGTTAACACAGTCTTCTGTGGCTACAGTCTAACCTGCTGGTTAACACATGGACCTCTGTGACTACAGTCCCCCCACCTGCTAGTTAACACACGATCTTCTGTGGCTACAGTCTAACCTGCTGGTTAACACACGGTCCTCTGTGGCTACAGTCTAACCTGCTGGTTAACACACGGCCCTCTGTGGCTTCAGTCCCACTGGCTAGTTAACACATGGTCCTCTGTGGCTACAGTCTAACCTGCTGGTTAACACACGATCTTCTGTGGCTACAGTCCCACCTGCTGGTTAACACATGATCCTCTGTGGCTACAGTCCCACCTGCTAGTTAACACACAATCTTTGTGGCTACAGTCTCACCTGCTAGTTAACACGGTCTTCTTTGACTACAGTCCCCCCACCTGCTAGTTAACACACGGTCTTCTGTGGCTACAGTCTAACCTGCTGGTTAACACACGGTCCTCTGTGACTACAGTCTAACCTGCTGGTTACAAACAGAAGATGTAATTGGCGCAAGAGAGGTGGTGGTGGGTATGGAGTTCCCCCAGAAAGTCTTAGGCGATATACAAAGTTAGTTCAGTTTAGAAAAAAAGGACGCAATAAAACAGGAGGTGAGGCATATGATTATATATAGTAATGGGAGTACAAAGTGGATTGCACAGCTTGAGTAGTAAGAGGAGGGGGGAGGGGGGAAGAGGACTTGTGGGTGCAGACAGTACTGGGTTGGAGTAGATGGTATATAATATATATATATTATATATATATATATATATATACTATATATATATATATATACACAAAGCTGCAATGTAGACACCGTCGTGAGGCTTGCACTCTCTAGAGTAAACCGGACTCTGTAGTAGAGGCATAGAAGAGAGAGAGAGAGGTGCGCCAGACTAAGTGCAGTAAAATTATAACAGTTTATTGCACACAAGATATTAAAAAAAAAAATCACAAGACGTGGGTAAGTATCAGGCATCAAGTATAAGGAGGAGGACGTCATCTGTGCTGCACATCACGGGCGGATGGCTGCAGTGCCAGGGAATTCAACGGCTGGCGCTCTAGGCGGGTTCCACAAGAGGTCTGAAGAAAAGGCTGGTTGCCTTGAAATGCGTCACCGCCCCCTTTGACGACTCCCAGCAACGTCTTGACGTCACTTCCGCTCGGCGGCCATCTTGGATGCGCCTCAAGCTGGTCCCATCACCCACGCTGATGTGAGAGACCAGCAGCGCCCGCCCTGAGCACGGTTCTTCCCTACACCGCGACTCCCGGTAACTGCGCCTGCCATCCTCGCTCCTTCCTGTGGGACCCGCCTAGAGCGCCAGCCGTTGAATACCCTGGCACTGCAGCCATCCGCCCGTGATGTGCAGCACAGATGACGTCCTCTGGTTAACACACGGACCTCTGTGACTCTGTGACTAC